AACTCACCGGAACATTTTGGCATTGTTTTATTATCATTGTTTTATTATTCGATGTGCGCGTTGTTAACGCTTTTGGATGTGCTCCTGGCTTCCATTATAATTAAATTACCAACCGAAGGCCAGAGGCTCCATATACAGACATCTTCAAAGGATTCAACTCACCGGAACATTTTGGCATTGTTTTATTATTCGATGTGCGCGTATCGAAAGCAGTAAGACCAGTGTCGGCAGACACGCAGAAGCAGCCACGAGCGTCACATTGAATCGTTTCGTAGTACCCTTAAATCGAGAAGTAGTTTTAGTGTGAACAGAGAAATCATTAGTAGGAAGAAAAGGCTGAAAACAACATGTTGAAAGATGCACGAATCGGTAAGTTGGGCTTTTTAGGGCCTTCACCTTCGATCCTATATGTGAAAAATTTCTTATGAACTACACTTTTCTAGACATTGGATGGAGTGGATTACAGGAGCGCAAGGCATTTTGCCCTAATATGTCTAATCCACTGCACAAAATGCACAATGCACTGCACGTGCTGTGATTCTATCGCAGAAATAGCTCCGAGCGATTTTCATGATTGGACCCTTGGGAGCATCATTACGGGGAAGTTATTTGCAACCTTGGAGACGCCAGATCGTTGGTCTTTCTACTTCTTGACCTCCCTCGCAAAGATGTGGCAGACCTTGAGGGAGTCATCGGACCTTACACCAGAAGAATAAAACAGCTACCAAAAAAAGATCTGCTTAGAAAAAAGAGGAGTGCCTGGCCGTAGCTAATGAACTCGCGCCTTTCTCTGACCTCTGTGGGTTTTGTTTGCCCCCAGTATCACGGCGAGAGGTATACGGTATATCATCCAAAGCTACCCCAAGTGCCTATGGGTCAGTTTAGCNAGCCTGCTGCTTGTCAATTATTCGTTTGTACGGCTACAATGACTCCAGTAATACAGATCCGTTGGTAGTTGCTTGCCATATTAGAATATAAACAGGACAATTCTTGGCGTATTAATTATCAGAGAGTAGGAGACGGTACTTTTATCCACCTAGAATTGTAGGATGATCAGGTTGGTTTCGAAGATATTGTGGGGGTGGAGATGTTTGATCGGGTAATCTCATAAATTGATTCCATCCTTTTAGGCTCCGACGAAGGTGGTTTCACCGAAACGCTAGCCATTAAGGATTGTAAAGCCTCGTGTGGAGTTGAAAACATGCCGAGGTTCATCGAGAGCCGCACGTGGAGTAGGAGAATGAGCGCGTTTGAGATTAAAGGATCAAAAAACGGATTAGTGCTTCAGGTGACCTTTGGCGCAAAAGCTCAATTCTATGTTTCTGGCCAGAATTGCCACTATAAAGACAGCTTCTTTTGAGACTGTCATCTAGTTAAAGATAGCAAGAGTCAATAACACGAGATTGTCGAGAGCCGCTAATCCTACATTTTTTAGGTNTCTTATAACATTAATGCAAAGCTGTGCCAAGATTCATCGAGAGTCGAACATGGATGCTTCAAAAAAAGATCTATCAGCATGAATGAAGGACAGAATGACCGGAAGAGGTTGGGTACCTCACCGCTCTTGGTGCACTTCATGCCGTCATTGGTGAGTTTGCACGGTCCTGCAGAGGTAGCCCTAAAAGCGAGATCAGTTTGTGAGAAACTTCAGTTCAAGAGAAGTTAGTGGTTCTTATCTAATATATTTTGTCATTCATGAGAATAAACTGCATAAATAGAAAAGACTTGCGATGTGGTTTTCAATTCTGTTGACGAACACAGCATTATGTGGATTAGCAGTAGTAGTAGTTTCATGATAATCTGAAATTGGGTCTCCAGGGTTAACTAAAAAACGAAAAATGGATACAAATGTAGAATGAACGAAGTTGCGAATAAACAGCGACGCCTAATTTTCGAAACGAAGACCAAACTGTATGGTCCGGGTGACATGGAAGTAAGAGTGAATTCGTAATTCAGCAAATGATAGGAAACATGAGCATTGAAAGTTCGAAGCGTCGGCGAGCACGTTCACCATTTGTTGAAGGCACAAGCAAAATACTTAAAAGGAGGCATTCGAGCGCTGCATCTTTTCTGTGCAAGATGACCTTCGAAACTTGAGTTAGCGTACGCTGTTTGAAGGCAGTAAAAGTCACACGATTACCACTGTAGCACTCGACAGCCCATTGAAGGGTCGAGTTTGAGGACCGAGAACAAAAATCAAATTGAAATTAAAGAAGATAGCACGAGCCATGTCATTTCGCCACCTCAGATCAAGTTATGGACTTGTCAGGTGTACAAAGAACAATATTCGAAAGCGCAAATCACGATATTTTTCAGGTAACCTTCAAGTCGAAAAGCGGAAGTATTGGTTGGATTAGTGCATTGGTGATAAGGGAAGCGAGAAAGTTTGCCGGTTTTGCGAAAAATAGGACTCTTCAAAAAAAGTTAAAACAGAGGTTATACGGGATTAGCATGGCAGAAATGGAAGGGGTGTATGGACCTTTCATTTCTTCGTTGCAATTGCGCAAAGAGCTTACTACATCAGGCCAAAACTGTCAAGAATCGTCTTTCACTGTCTTCATGGATCATTACAAGTTGTTTGAACTCCCTACATGAGTTCTCTTGTGAGTGGTGCAACTTCTACAATGCCGATGAAACTCGTCCGCGCATATACACGAGACAATCTTTGAGCCTTTATAATGCCCTACCTTCTCCGACTTTCCCGACCTGACAGCGATACATCTGGTATACGAGGGAGTCACAGATTTACCTAGCGATATATGTATATCATAAGCCTTTTTTATCGTAGACTGCGCCTTTAATATGGTACAAAATAATATGCTGACAGGTCAAAAAAGATGTCTGCACCCACGAGACCACATGAAAGTCCTCTGGCTTAATTTCCTAATTGCCCTAAAACTATGTCACATTATACACACGATAATTGACGTATATCTGGGAAGGAGAGCCTGCTGCTTGTCAATTATTCGTTTGTACGGCTACAATGACTCCAGTAATACAGATCCGTTGGTAGTTGCTTGCCATATTAGAATATAAACAGGACAATTCTTGGCGTATTAATTATCAGAGAGTAGGAGACGGTACTTTTATCCACCTAGAATTGTAGGATGATCAGGTTGGTTTCGAAGATATTGTGGGGGTGGAGATGTTTGATCGGGTAATCTCATAAATTGATTCCATCCTTTTAGGCTCCGACGAAGGTGGTTTCACCGAAACGCTAGCCATTAAGGATTGTAAAGCCTCGTGTGGAGTTGAAAACATGCCGAGGTTCATCGAGAGCCGCACGTGGAGTAGGAGAATGAGCGCGTTTGAGATTAAAGGATCAAAAAACGGATTAGTGCTTCAGGTGACCTTTGGCGCAAAAGCTCAATTCTATGTTTCTGGCCAGAATTGCCACTATAAAGACAGCTTCTTTTGAGACTGTCATCTAGTTAAAGATAGCAAGAGTCAATAACACGAGATTGTCGAGAGCCGCTAATCCTACATTTTTTAGGTGAAAAAAAAANAAAAAAAAACTTAGCTCCAGAGTCACGATCTTTTCAAACGACGATGAAAGCAGGTATTTTGAACGTGTGCCCCTTTTCCATGCATCTTCATGGAACTGTCCTCCTTTTTTCCAGCTCAGTGTGTGGTCAGCCGTTGAACCATCCTTATCGGTAGCACGAGACCCAGATATTTCAGCATTTTTTCAGTCTACTGTCTATTTTTAAATTTCCAGAGCTTCCAAATATTAGTTTTGATTCCGAATTTCCTATTAATTACCGTCAACCTCAGTTACGAGAAAAAACAAAGACAGATGTAGGGACAGAAGCGAATATCGGCAAGCTCATAGGATTAGTACATGCTTCTTACAATAATCCAACGTTTGACTATTCATGACTTGAGCAGTAGTGTTTTCTTCGGGGAGTTCCAGCACATCATCGCTACCTCTTGCTCAAGGCCCTGTCAGAATTTTCCATAATGTTGGTTATTGTTGGCCCGTGTGGAAACAATAGGAACAAGTTACAGGACCCGTCAGGGAGGGAGTTGACCCTATAGTGCGGCACAAGCCAGCCGTTACTTCCTTCTCTCGATCAAGGTATAAAGCTAACTTTCAGTTACCGGTGCTTATTAGGCGAAGAACGTTCTGAAAATGCTCCCCTTCCACGATTCCATGATCTTCATTAAAATGGTGGGTCTCGGCCAGTTCTATCGCGAGTTGGAAATCGTATTGCATACTTATATTCGTTTCATGGTGACGATATCCATTGGTAACGTGATGAGCTGCTTGTTCTTGTAAACAATTTATTGCAAGCTAACAAATTCATAAACAAATCAGAACACAAAATGCAAATCATGAGCGGGTTAATAAAAAGAGAAAAATAAACAACTTTTCGACCAAAATTCTATGTGTTGAAACATAAGTAAAACTGAACTGAATATAACCAAGAATAGGCATGCAAAGCTCAAAAAAGGTATCCCTTTCAAAGTTGAGAATTGAAGGGTTTCCAGTGACACAGTTGTTCATCTTTTTCAAAAAAATAGTCGCTATGAAAATCTCAATCTTTGATTAACCCGCCTCCGCAAAAGTTATCTGGTCGACAACTCCTGGCATTGCGCGGGTGGAACTTTATCATTCAGAGGTTACAGAGCGGGAGATAAAAACTTTCCAAAAGAAAGGTGAATTGAATTGAAGTCTCTCCTGTAGGGTCGCATATGCGGTGCCATAAGTACGATTCAGCCTTTTCAGGAAAGCCTTATGGAGGCTTCCTTGAATTCAGCCGAAGTCTTACAATCACAGGGGGAATTTGCGCACGAAGAATATGGAGCTAATGATTTAATCAACCGTTACCATCTTAGAATCAGTACAAACTTAAGGTCTGCCCCCGGGATTGGACTGAATCGTACATTCCAACAAAGCTGTATCCGACAACAGATATGTAGAGAGATTCAGCGATTTCCAATTTCACAAGGTTTTCGAGATACCCGAAGGTGACCACTCGCTAATATGTACACGTGCTTCAACAACAATATGCGAAGATGTCGCCATCGTGGCACTTATATCCTGAAGGGCAAAAGTTATCTTTACATGATTTCCCAAATCGGATTTCTCGCCAAGAATCAATCATTTCCGAGTATGGTTGTTTCCCATTGCTGCACTTAGGATGGTAGGCGGCATGGAACCGATCTGCAAAATGACATGATAAGTGTTAGTGCGTTGAAAAAGTGGACAGTGAGAGAAATCACTTTCTACTTGTAAGTTGGATAGCTCTATTCATGACAAAAAAACTAGTATCGCATAAGAAACTCGGTCTCACCTTCGTTTGCTCGATTGCAACAGAAACCGAAGAACGCTCCCATGACGCATTTGTGGTCTAGAGGACAGCCATCTTCATTGAGTTTCGGGGTATTTCGCGGGGCGGGAGTAGTAATGCCTGAAATGAACTTTTACGCCAATCTTTTCTCTATGCCCTATACTCAATCTCCTTTCAAGTTTCTAGAGCTTGTGAAAAGAAGTAAAATGTCCATCAACCATCGAAATCCCACCCAAGTGTCATTAAATGTACATCAGACCTTGCTTTCAAACGACTTCTTGGATCTCGCTGCTCCAAGAAGTTTTTTACACCCCGAAATCAAACATGTTATCCCCCTTTCGAGAATAATATTGCGATGGAAGAATAACTACCCCACCAACATGCTTTCCAAAAACTCACCGGGGGGAAGCATCNCCATCTTCATTGAGTTTCGGGGTATTTCGCGGGGCGGGAGTAGTAATGCCTAAAATGAACTTTTACGCCAATCTTTTCTCTATGCCCTATACTCAGTCTCGTTTCAAATTTCTAGAGCTTGTGAAAAGAAGTAAAATGTTCATCGGCCATCGAAATCCTACCCAAGTGTCGTTAAATGTACATCAGACCTTGCTTTTTAAACGACTTCTTGGATCTCGCTGCGCCAAGAAACTTTTTTACACCCCGAAAACCAACATGTTATCCCCCTTTCGAGAATAATATTGCGATGGAAGAATAACTACCCCACCAACATGCTTTCCAAAAACTCACCGGGGGGAAGCATCAATTGAGGACCGCCACAGGTCATTGCTTCCCCGTTTGCCTGCCGTGCTGGTGGATACATTCCGGAACATCCAGATAGATCAGCTGGAAAAATGATCGAAGATTTGAGCAATTCATAAGCAGGGCGGATTGAAAACTAAAAAAAAACTAAAAAATAAAAATAAATCGTTTTGGGGAAGAATCGTACCGAGTTTACAATCCGAATTGCAAGCCGAGGATGTCGGGTAGTTGTTTTCATTTCCATCGCAGCCAAGATATTCAAATGCTAAGCATTCGAAGGTGTGGTAGTCGAAGTAATACTGTAATTGTTGTAATACCTTTCATCAGAGAACAAGAGGATGAAAAGCTATCGTTCGAGGGGTAGATTGGGGATCTAAACCTATTCGTTCCGAAGCCGAGAACTTCCATCCCCAAATATCAATAATAAATAAATACGAACGATAATATTAAGACAGAGTATTAAGATTATAAGGGGGGAACAAGTCAAAGATGTAGTTCAACTTCCGTTTCGCACGTGCCCTAGACAGAAGTTGAACTTAAGAAATATTCTCCGTGCTCTTCAGTAGGGTAGGGGAGAACAAGAACTTATGAAAATTATATAAACAAATAAATAATTAAATAAATAAGTTAAGAGGTATACAATGCAAAGCAAATTACCGAATTATAAGCATTAAACCCGCTTGTAATGGGCAATGTCACATTTGAGCATTTTAACGATCAACGATCATCGCATTCTTTATCGTAGGCACAGTTAAAGGTAGTCATAATGAAAGGTTAGCTAATGTTACTGAACGTATATCACATGTTCATCATCGTTGACAGCTGTTAACAGATAGCTGTTTTATCATGGGTTTCACATTATATTAATTAGGACTGTGCTTGCAAACCGTAAAAAAAGAAGCCAAAAGTAGTACCGTGTATAACGGCCACCTACCCTGACTGAGGGCTTTCCTTCTTTACAAGCTCTTCCCTTGTTCCTGTCCAATTTGCACGATTCTCTTGAGACAGGGTAGCGTTCTTGAACGAACGGTGATCCTTCAGTGGTGGGAAACTGCGTGGAAATGGTTGAAATGTCTGAATGATGAGATTTTAGTAAACGCTGAATGTTCATAGTATCACTACCCATTGTTTAGCATCAGTTTGAGTTCATCGTACAACAAAGATCCTTTCATTCAACAACGAAGTTCCTTTCATTCCACGCTGTTCCCCCTTATCGAAGTGCAGAAGGTTCAGCGTGTGAGTCGAGTCAAAGCCTTACAAACTAGCGCTCTGTAGGGAACAAGGAGGTGTGGTCAACCCGCAATACCGAATAAACAGAGAATTAATCCCACAAAGTCATAGGTGTGCTCACAAATCTTCATAACCCTGGACGGAATCTGATGGCATGACCCATGCTAACGTTCCGATTGACATCTACGCTAGCAGTGACCAGAAAAATTATCGCAATGGTTTTTTCCATGATACTTTTTTCTCAAGAATTACATAAACGCTTTTGAAGTGATCCATCATTTTCGTCAGCCGTCAACGACGACATCAATAGCGACGCGTTTCAGCACTGAAAGTTAAGCAGTTTTTCAGCCCCAATGAGGTATGCAGTTAAGGCATCGAAGGAAGACTGAGAAATTCGCTTGGCTTCTCAGGCCCATCTATCAATGTATGCGTTCCCGATGGAGCCGTTGACGATGGTACTGGATTGGGCATGGGAAGTGTTGTGAACGCGTGGGCTAATAAGTTGATAAAGATCCAGTCCCATAGCTGGCAACGTCATATTCTAACAGTTACGTAGGCTGTGCCTTCATTTGTGTGGTCTACCTATTAGCAGATATACACAAGCGAGTGAGATGAAGGATTCACTTGCCTGTGTTACCATTTGCTTTGGTGCAAGACCGATGAATAGTCTTATCTGCCAATTTTTTTTCTCTTCTCGAACATAGTAGTAAGACGNTATCAATGTATGCGTTCCCGACGGAGCCGTTGGCGATGGTACTGGATTGGGCATGGGAAGTGTTGTGAACGCGTGGGCTAATAAGTTGATAAAGATCCAGTCCCATAGCTGGCAACGTCATATTCTTACAGTTACGTAGGCTGTGCCTCCATTTGTGTGGTCTACCTGTTAGCAGATGTACACAAGCGAGTGAGATGAAGGATTCACTTGCCTGTGTTACCATTTGCTTTGGTGCAAGACCGATGAATAGTCTTATCTGCCAATTTTTTTCTCCGTTCGAACATAGTTAGTAAGACGTCAGAAGCAAATACATTGTGGCAATTCTGCTTACTGTTGTTTCCGCATGTGATATACTTGTTTCCTTCCTTTCTTTTGCGAGTATTCGGGACTTCTTTGCCGGTTTTCGTATCTACGCAGTAACAATACTCCTGCCTCGCGTCACACTGTATTTCTTCGTAATCGCCTAAAGAAATCATCTTTACGATGCAAAAGCGATTATTATATTTGTACTTGTTCTAGTGGAAGCACTGCAGTAAAAAGGAAGTCAGTTCGAAATTCAGTAGGTTGGAGATTGATACTAATCAAAAAGAGAAAGTGCAATTAACGTACCCAAAACGATGTCGCACTTCGGCACGAATGTTCCTTGAGGAACATCTCCATCAGCGTATAGATCTTTTAGGGCTTTGTGGCAATCTGAACATATACTGTACACGTACAATTGTAGTAATTTCAGACAACACACACACATTTGATAGTCAATTGGAAGGGGCGAGTTCGAGCAAGAACATATGAATAAGAATCTATAATCTATGTTTGTTTGTTTCGGACATTTAAGAGAAGCCAAAGAAGCCAAGACGTCCATACCAACGTTTCCCAATCACACTTACGTTTCTGAAGAGTGAGATCTTCCCATATGAACCGCTGGTCTCAAAATGTGATTTCTTAATTTGTGAATTATCTGAAGGGTAACTTCAACAGTGACGATTCGAAGAACTTGTAGCTTCATTAGTGATGGTCGCTTTCGACTTTCTCAAATGTGTTTCAACAATCTAGCCGGTTTCTGTCAACAGATTAGTACCCTCTACAAAAATCGTAAAACGTAGTTTCAAGAAACTTTCAGACCTCAGATATTTCAGAATTAAACTACCCTGTAGCTCTTAAAGAAGTGCCTTTGCACCTTTAGCAATTCTGACCGGTCTACAGGACAAAGTGTAATTCCTGCTCATTAGGGAACGACGCTCAAAAATCTGGTCTAATTGCTTGGAACCTCGTCAAATTAGCTTGGTAATTGTTTGGATTTTCCTCATATGACACTTCTTAATTCATGTTTTTTATAAGAAAGGACTTCTGTGAAGCTGGACAGGATCGAATAAAAGGCGATTAAGGTCCACTTATGGCTAATTCATACATTTTGAAGGTTTTTTACAGCTCGTAAACCTACTAGAACACTTCGGTTGTGTCATGTTATTCGATGTCCGCGTATCGAAAGCAACGAGGCCATTGTTAGCAGCCACACAGACGCAGCCACGTGCATCGCATTGCACAGTCTCGTAGTATCCTGAAAACATCGGTGATGATTGATTGTACAAACGAGTGTCACAAAAAGGTTCAAAAGAAACCCGATAGGAGAATGAAGAACACTGGGAGCGGTGAAATTTGTTGGGATAACAAAGAAGCAAGTCAGCGACAGAAAAAGGAGTTGAAATATCAGACTAAAGCCTAAGGAATATAGACTTGGGCCTCAATCAGTCCGCCTGAGGGATGCCCCCACGCACTCAACTCCCATTCAGAATCGTAGTGACGTAGTGAATGCGTATGTGGCCTATGCAATGAATTGCAGTGGCCAGCCGATGTACAAGTCAGCGCTTTTATCCTCCCAGACAAGTCTGGTACCAATTGACCGTCCCCGGAGGGATAGAAGGCTTGTAGGCGGATATCGAGATTTGAGCCCATGACCACGTGTCTGTGAGGTGCGCCACTTGCCAAAACATCAGCTCCACCCGAAGAGTCAGAAAAGGCTCGTTGGGGGCTAAAAATTCATGGAGGCCGATTTTGTCTTCGTTGTGTAGGACATTTGGCCTGGTACCTTCACTTGATATGTCAGTGAAATAGCTGGCTCGTACGAAATATGTTCTGATGAATGGAAGGTTCATCCCATGCAAGTGAAATAGCTGGCTCGTACGAAATATGTTCTGATGAATGGAAGGTTCAGAGTTACCCGAGGTTGAGGATCCGATAATCCCAAAAGGAAGCGGCCTGGTTCAACGCTCGAACTTTGGTGTAGACAAGAGCAGGAATAGATGTAGACAACGCTCGAACTTTGGTGTAGACAAGAGCAGGAATAGATGTAGACAATAGATGTAGACAGAATAAAAACTGGTGTTCGCCGAAAAATTGGATATACACTTTACAATAAATATGACAACCTTTTTTCGTGCATTTCATTCCATCGTCGTTCAGTATGCATGGCCCCGTGCGCGAAACCCTGAAAAACGTGTGGAATCTCGGAATCCTCACTGTGACAGAACGGGAGCTGTCACAATCGTTTTTTCACTTTTACTACCCAGTAGAAAATCCAAGCAGCAAAATGAGTTGTTGCAAAAAAAATCTCAACTTACGCATTCGTTTTTAATGCTGCTTGACACAAATGAACAGTTGAGAATAACGCTAATAATAACCTCATCTCGATCTGTTAGGTGTGTGATTTCGTCTGAAAAGAATCGTAGTCTTGAACATTTTGGGAAAAACAATTCCTAATCGACCATGAAGGTGAATGGCGACATTGTTATGTAATCGCTGATCGAATCAAAAGCAACGCATTAACAGGAACTGGGAAGAAGAAAGATCACCAACTGGGAGAAAGACTTGGAGCCCCGAACCAAGGAAGGCGTCGGAAACGGGGGACCTTGGCAAAAGTAGACACTGACCTTCAGCATGGAAACTGAGTTTTGGTCTTATTGCTACGGTAATGTGGTTGATATATGTAAAACAGGGTCTAGTAATGACATCAATAATAATACAACCAAGTATCTTGAAATATCGTCAGATATCCGTTCTGAATATAAACCCCTTTCTGAAAAAAGGCTTGTGAAAGATGACCATTTACACTATCCTATCAAACAAATCCTTCTTCAAAGTCTTCTTTTCGGCGAAATGTCTGGTATGATACCTTTTGAAAGAAAAAAAGACATCAGTCTTAAGACTGAGGGGGTGAGAGCCAAGGAAATAATGCACCTACCAGGAAAGCACCCACTAAATGAAAGAGCAGATGACCAGTAATGACAAATAAATTGAATAAGTCGCTGGAAGATGTTCAATGGTTTCGAAAGTAGAGAAAATGTCTAAGCTTTACAACGCCTAGCTGATGATATTGTCTCACATAAAGTGCTTCGTCTTTTTAGTTGGCAATAATTCGGAATTTAGTGGGCACTTTAAACGTCATGAATGAATAATCATTTAACATTTTATTCAGTGGGATGTGACGGTGAGCAATAGATCCATTACAAGATGCTAATTATACAGCAATGCAAGGAGCAGACCGTTCCATGCCTGTGGAATGATTACCATTGCACAAGCATGAGCGGTCTGCCGGGTCCGCCTATCTGTTCGAGGCTACAAAGACGATGAAGAATATTATACAAAAAGGGAACGTTTCTATCAGATGGCCCAAAAATCGAGAACATGACGTGTATGACGTATTTAATTCGAAACCTTTGGAAAGGATGATTGGGTAATAACGATCAGTCTTATCATATAGTTACAGCTTATGGAGAAATAGATGACAATGACCTTATACTTCTAAGGAAATCCCACATGAAAACGCCACCACAGAGCGGTTCAACGTTCGAACTTTGCAAAAACAAGAACAGAAGCAGGTATAGACGGGAAAAACTATTCGGGTCCCGTCCGAGACTGGAGTTTTGCCCACAAATCGCCAGCCTTGGGAGACCTTCGGAACGCGTACTGCGGCGAAATAACAGCAGCTAACAAAAAACATCAAGTCTAGACAAGTACTAACATGTAAAGCTCACACCTTAATGGTTCCCTGCTGATATTGGCCGACCGGCTCAACACGTTGTACGTGTGAGTGCTGATAAGCTATCCTACTTTATATAATTCGCTAAGTGTGTCTGTTGGTGTGTCGGTGTGTTTGTGTGTGTGTGTTGGTGTTGGTGTGTGTGTCTGACCGGAAATTCATAACTCCTATCCCCGTGGACCTAGAGCGTTCAAACTCGGCGGGAATACGGGGGGC